CTTGCCTTATTTCCTAAAAGTAGGTCAAGTTTTGCACCTTCTCTAGTAGGTACATCCACATACTGAATCAGAAAATTTTCTTGTACGCACTTACCATATTCCTCTCCATCCAAGCCTTTAATACCATGGCAGTCCCAGTCCATATTTGGAAAGTTAAAATGCCCTACCATAACCCCGCTATTATTCTTACAGATAACTGAGATCTACTTACAAATTTGTTTCTCAATTTCCCACTGACTGTTGCAGGGTCTAAAGTACAATATCAATAAGGTGATCATCCCGAACTTATTTCTCAGTTCCACTAAAATAATTTCCCTGGAAGTATTCCCAGAATATCCTCCATAAGTACAGCTGTAATGTTATCCCTAATCAAAAACACCACTCCCCCTCCTGTCTTGCCCCTCCTTTCTATCCTTCCTATAGTATCTATATCCTGGAACATTAAGCTGCCAGTCCTGTCCATCCCTGAGCCACGTCTCTGTAATTGCTATGATATCCCAGTCCCATGTTCCTCACCATGCCCTGAGTTCATCTGCCTTACCCGTTAGGCCTCTTGCATTGAAATAAATGCAGTTTAATTGATCAGTCCTACCTCGTTCTCTACTTTGTTCCTGCTTGCCCTGTCTGTTTGACTTACACTTCTTCCCAACTTTGTCAGTCTCAGACTGATCACGTTCCTCATCATCTCCCTGGGTCCCACCCTGCCCCTTACTATTTTAAATCCTCCCAAGCAGCTCCAGCAAATCTCTGCACCGGCGTATTAGTCCCCTTCCAATTCGGGTGCAATCCCTCCTTATACAGGTCACTTCTACCCCAGAGGACATTCCAATGATCTAAAAATGTGAATCCTTCTCCCCTGCCCAGGCTTTCATGTGCTCTCTCCTCCTATTCCTATCCTCACTAGCTTGTGGCACTGGGAGTGATCCAGATATTACTACCCTCGCGGACCTACTTTTTAAATTCCTGCCTAACTTGCTATATTCTCTTCTGAGAATCTCATCTTTTTCACTTCCTATGACGTTAGTTCCAATGTGTACAATGACCTCCTGCTGGTCCTGCTCCCCTTTTGAGAATATTCTGAACCCTCTCCGAGATATCTTTGATCTTGGCTCCAGGAAGGCAACACACCATTCTGATGTATCGCTGTTGGCCGCAGAATCGTTTGTCTAACTAGAGAATCCCCTATCACAGTCAATTGCTTGGAACCTGGTGTACCCCTCATTACAGTAGATCCTGTCTCAGTACTAGAAACATGGCTGTCTGTGCTACATTCCCCTCAGAGTCCATCACCCCGCTACATTTTCCAAATTTGCATACTTGTTTGAGATAGGGACAACCACAGGAGAGTCCTGCACTACCTGCCTCCCTCTCCTAACTTTCCTGAAGATCACCCATCCACCTGACTGTATCTTTGGTTTATCTCCCTCTCTGCAACTGCCATCCATTACAGCCCCTAGCTCCTGTAAATTCCTTATTGCCTGTAACTGCCTCTCCAACCAATCCATGCGATTTGACAGGATTTGCAGCCAAACCCACTTCCTGCAGACATAATCATCAGTAACATGGAAACTCTCCCTAATCTCTCTCATCCAGCAGGAAGAACACATCACTCTACTGAAGGCCATCCTTGCACCTTAACAATTTACAGACCCAGAAAATAGCAGTCTTAGTGCTCTAAAATCACTGCTCCAGGCTAGCTCAGTATCTATGTTTGTATATTTTTAAAGTTTAATCAAGAGACAGATCTCAATAACAACATATAAATAAAAAAAAAACCCACTCTACTCACTTTTGTAGATTTACAAAAGAAAACCAGTAAGGTTATACTCTTAAAAAGCCACTTAACTGCTCCCCTGCTGTAAGCTCCCACACACAGGTTTCTCCAAGGTCAGCTGTGAATTTGGCTATTTGTTTATTTTTCTTAGAAAGATCTCCGATGTCCAGAGGTACTTGAAAACAGACAGCAAAAGCAGTTGCTTGAATCACTGCCCTTTGTCTTCTTCCTTTTTAAAGTGCTGTTGTTTTGATATGTTTTTATCCCAAAGTTCCATAACAATGCAACGGCTTATGAAACAGTAATTCCTGCTCCTAGAATGCAAGGAAATCGGCTCCAACACTGAAAATACCTCAAGAAAGGTACAGCTCTTACAGCCACAATTTTTTCCCATCCTCCATCTTGGATTACCCTGAAAATTCCACCATCTAGCGACTCAAGACTGGGCATCCATGGAAATGCTGTGGACCACCAGCAGCAGAATTGCACTCCAACACAATCTGCAACCTAAGGGCCTGGCATATCCCCCACTCGGTGATTACCATCAAGTCTGGGGATCAGCCCTGGTTCAGTGGAGAGTGCAGGAGGGCATGCCAGGAGCAGCATGAAGTATACCTAAAAATAAGGTGGCACCATATTGAAACTACCAACAGGACTATTTATGTGCCAAACTGTATAAGCACCAAGTGATAAACAGAGCTAAACCATCCCATAAAGAATGGGTCAGATCTAAACTCTGCAGTATTGCCATATTCAGTCATGAATGGTGTGGACAGTGAAACGACTCAGTGGAGGAGGAGGGAGCTCCACAAATATCCCCATCCTCAATGAAGGAAGCGCTGGACACATCACTGCAAAAGATAAAGCTGAAGCATTTGCAGCAATCTTCAGCCAGAAGTGCTGAGTGAATGATCCATCTTCCCCGCAACCGCTCCCTACATCACCCCCCCCACCTCGCAGTGGTCCCCAGCATTACAGGTACCAGCCTTGAGCCAATTTAATTCACTCCACTTGATATCAAGACACTGGATACTGCCAAGGCTGTGGGCCCTGACAACATTCCGGCAATAGTACTGAAGACTTGTGCTCCAGACCTTGCTGCTCCCCCACCCAAAGTTAGAACAAAGCAGGACAAATTCAACCCGGCCAGTTACCGCCCCTTCAGTCGATCATCAGTAAAGTGATGGAAGGTGCCATCAACAGTGCTATCAAGCAGCACTTGCTCAGCAATAACCTGCTCACTGATGCATAGTTTGGGTCCTGCCAGGGTCAGTGGGCTCCTGACCTCATTACAGCCTTAGTTCAAACATGGACAGAAGATTTGAATTCCAAAGTAACGAGAGAGTGATAGCTTTGACATCAAGGCTGCATTTAACCAACTGTGAATCAAAGAGCCCTAGCAATACTGGAATCAGTTGGTATCGGGGGCAGACTCTCCACTGTTGGAGTCATACCTGGCACAAAAGAAGATGGCTGTGGTTGTTGGAGGTCAGTCATCTTAGCTCCAGGACATCTCTGGATGTGATTCTCAGGGTAGTATTCTAGGCCCAACTATCTTCAGCTGCTCCACCATTGACCTTCCTTCCATCACAAGGTCAAAGGTGGGGATGTTCGCCGATGATTGCACAATGTTCAGCACCGTTTGTGACTCCTCAGATGTTGAAGCAATTCGTGTCTAAATGCCACAAGATCTGGACAGTATCCAGGCTTGAGCTGACAAGTGGCAAGTAACATGCATACCACACAAATGCCAGGCAATGATCATCTCCAATAAGTGACAATCTAACCACTGTCCCTTGACATTCAGTGGTATTGCCATCATTGTAGTGGACTTGCCTCATAAAGAGGCTACTAGAGCAGGACAGAGGCTAGGAATACTGTGGTAAGTAACTCGCTCCTGATTCCCAAATTGTGTCCACCAACTACAAGGCACAATTCAGGTGTGTGATGGCATACTGCCCACTTGCTTGGATGTGTGTGGCTCCAGTAACACTGAAGATACTTGACATCATCCAGGACAAAGCAGCTTGTTTGATTGGTGCCACATCCACTTACATCCATCCTCCACCACTGATGCTCAGTAGCAGCAGTGTGTCCTATATACAAGATACACTGCAGAAATTCACCAAAGATCCTTTGACAGCACCTTCCAAACCCACAACCACTTCCATCAGGAAGGACAAGGGCAGCAAATACTTGGAAACACCACCACCTGCAAGTTGCCCTCGAAGCCACTCACCATCCTGCCTTGGAAATATGTCTTTGTACCTTCGCTGTCATTGGGTCAAAATCATGGAATACCCTCCCTACAGGCATTGTGGGTCAACCTACAGGACTTCGACTCAGTGGTTTAACAAGGCAGCTCACCACCACCTAGGCAACTAAGGACAGGCAATAAATTCTGGCCCAGCCACTGATGCCCATGTCCCACAAGTGAATACAAAAAATTCTCCTCATAACCTAATTTGTCCAATTCAGCAATTTTCTTCAATTCTGTGAAAAATTATCTTTAAAAATCCTTTGCTTACTTGGTTTCTTCCTCCTCTCCCAATCTGTTTTGGAGATGAGCAGATCTTTTAAAATTAGCTTCTTAGGTGGTTTTTGTAGAAAATCTGATACCAAAGTATTAAAAAAAACACTATCTGACCACAGGAACAGTGAAGTAAATCTTTGACACACACATGTTAAATCAACCAGGACTGCCACTGAGATGATACATTTGTCTGTTGCAAGAGGCTCCCTCCAACCAAGTGAATGTACATGATGAGCTTATGGTGAAGAGTTCTTGGTTGCCGTATTTTCCCAAATTGGCGTTCCCTTAACAAAAAATGTGCAATTGCACATGGTGTATGCTTGTGTAATAGTTATGGTGCTAGACAAGTGGCATAGAGGTTTTGAATTAAATCCTATCATAGCAAATTATGAAATGTTGTTCAATAAATCTGGTAACTTTTATAAAGCATCAAAAAGAATGACCATTTGAGGAAAAAAAAATCTCACTGGTTCATGAGTGATTCCAGATCAACGCTACGCATTTGCCTGAATCCTCTATAGCAAACCACTCGCTCCCATTTTACCAATTTTTTAAACTGGTGTTAAAGATATAATAGTCATATTATAGACAACAGCTATTGCTCTGTTTAGTTGTTTATTTACAAAACCACTCAGTGCATTTGACGTTCTTTTATGGTTCAGTGAGTGGTAACTTTGAGGTATGTTTGTTTAGGCAGATGATGAGCATTATATCCCAAGGGCTGTTCTACTGGACTTGGAACCTCGTGTGATTCATTCAATCCTAAATTCACCTTACGCAAACCTGTACAACCCAGAGAATATCTACCTGTCAGAGCATGGAGGAGGTGCAGGCAACAATTGGGCCAGTGGCTATTCTCAGGTGGGTATTGCTTAAAATGCTAAGAAGACTACAATCCGGGGCAATCAATTATTTAAGAAAATGTAAATGAAATCAAGTGGAATCAAATTTGTGAAAGGCATATCTTATTTGACTAATTTCTTAATGTTCTTTAAGGAAGTAACAAGGAATATGAATAAAGGGAAATGTGAGGATTTGTCATAGTTAGATTTCCAGTAAACATTTGACAAGTTGCCAAATCAAAGGTTACTGCACAAAATAAAAGCTCATGTTGTGGGTAATAACACATTAGCATGGATAGAAGATTGGTTGGCTAACAGGAAATTTTGGAGTTTCCACAGCAGAGTGCCACAGGGATCAGTGGCTAGGACCTCGACTATTTACAGTTTTTCTGAATGATTTGGTTGAGGGCTCCAAATGTATAGTAGCTGCATTTATTGATGAGACAAAGACAGATAGGGAGATACTTTGCGAAGAGAATATAAAGAGCCTGCAAAGGGACATAGTTAGTTTAAATGAGTTGGGAGATAGGATTATGGCAGATAATATAAAATGTGAACTTGTCCACTTTAGCAGGAAGATAGAAAAACAGTGTGTTATTTAAATGAACAGAGTATGCAGAGTTGAGAGGTACAGAGTTATATGGGTGTCCTAGTACAAAAGGTTTGTATGTAGGTACAGCAAGTGATTAGGAATACAGATGAAATGTTGGCATTTATTGCATGAGGCAAGGAATATGTAAGTAGAGATGTTTTGTTACCATTTCTGCAGCACTTCTATGAGATCACATCTAGAGTACTACATAGTTTTGGTCTCTTTATTTAAGAAAGGATAGAAGTATTGTAGTGCAGTTAGGAAAGTTCACTTGACTTATACCTCGGATGGAAATGTTATCTTATGAGGAAAGGTTTGACAGGCCTGTATGCATTGGAGTTTAGGAGAACGAGAGATGATACTATTGAGACATGGGCAAACTGGAGGGGTCTTGACAGGGTGCTCGCTGAAATGATGTTCTCTTTTGTGGGGAATACTAGATGCCAATGTTGTAGCTATACTAGAACAGCTTGGTGAAGGCCACAGCTAGTTCTGGAGCACAGGTCTCCAGAACTGTTGTCGAATGTTGTCAGCGCCCATAGTCTTTGTAGTATACAGTGTCTCAAACCATTTCTTGATATCGCATGGAATGATTTGAATTGCCTGAGGACTGGCATCTGTGATGTTTCGGTGATAGTGATCACAACTCCCTGATCTTTACTGTAGTCATGGAGAGGGATAGGAGCAGACGGTTTGGCAAAGTATTGAACTGGGGGAGAGGGAATTACAATGCTATTAGGCAAGAACTATGGAGCACCAACTGGGATCAGATGTTCTCAGAGAAATGCACAATAGAAATGTGGAGGCTGTTTAGGGAGCAGTTGCTACAGGTACTGGATACGTTTGTCCCACTGAGGCAAGGAAGGGATGGGAAGGTGAAGGGACCTTGGATGACAAGACATGTGGAACACCTAGTCAAGAGGAAGAAGGAAGCTTACTTAAGGTTGAGGAAGCCAGGATCGGACAGGGCTCTAGAGGTCTACAAGGTAGCCAGAAGGAACTGAAGAATGGATTTAGGAGAGCGAGAAGGGGGTATGAGAAAACCTTGGCAGGTAGGATGAAGGAAAACCCCAAGGCATTCTATGCTTATGTGAGGAACAAGAGGATGGCTAATGAGGGTAGGGCTGATCAGGGATAGTGGAGGGAACTTGTGCGCGGAGTCAGAGGAGATAGAGGAGGTCCTTAATGAATACTTTGCTTCAGCATTCACTGGTGAGAGAGACCTTGACGTTTGTGAGGACACCATGAAACAGGCGGATATGCTTGAACAGGTTGATGTTAGGAAGGAGGATGTGCTAGAAATCTTGAAAAACTTGAGGATAGATAAGTCCCCTGGGCTAGACAGGATATATCCAAGGTTACTATGGGAAGTGAAGGAAGAGATTGCTGCCCCTTTGGCAATGATCTTTGCATCCTCACTGTTCACTGGAGTAGTACCAGAAGATTGGAAGGTGGCAAATGTCATTCCCTTGTTCAAGAAAGGGAATAGGGATAATCCTGGAAATTACAGACCAGTCAGTCTTACTCCTGTGGTGGGCAAATTATTGGAGGGGATTCTGAGAGATAGTATTTACGATTACTTGGAAAAACACAATTTGATTGGAAATAGTCAGCATGGCTTTGAGAGGGGCAGGTCATGCCTCACAAGCCTTATAAATTCTTTGAGGATGTGACAAAACGCATTGAAGGTAGAGCAGTGGATGTGGTATACATGGATTTTAGCATAGCATTTGGTAAGGTTCCACATGGTAGGCTCATTCAAAAAGTAAGGAGGCATGGGATTCAGGGAAATTTGGCTGTCTGAATACAAAACTGGCTGTCCAATAGAAGACAGAGGGTGGTAGTAGATGGAAAGTATTCAACCTGGAGCT